AGGTCAGACCCGGCCCGCACCTAGGCAGATCGTGGGTCGGGCTAGGTCCAGTCCCACTCTGACCATGCCAGGCCCGAGTCAGACCTGACCCGATCTTGAACCCGACAAGCTGGGTCATGGTCCTGAACCGGCCCGGCCCACGCCAACCCCTAATATTGCACATGTTTGCATTATAAATTAAGACATTATTTTTCTTTAATTTGGTAGTAAATATTATTTACTTGACATATTTTTTTGTAAAATCATAAACATGCTATTTCATGCTTAATTATCTATCTTGAAAAATTATGTATGCAATGCGTGTCTTGCTTCACTCAGAAGCGTGCATCGTATTGTGTCTTGCGCATGTGTGCATAAAGGGACTTTGCGCCGCATATTGCTCATAGCGCATTGATAACACTAAGTTAATCTGTTACTGCCCTTAGGTTTTCAAATGAAAAACTAATTGACCCATTTACAGTCAAGGCATCAAACTTTATCTCCAAATCTCCACAAATTGAAAAAACCCATTTCCACAGAAGGACTAAATACCATGTAATCTCAGTATATGAACTCCAAATTCCTTGATCAAAGAAACAGGGTAGATTTAGAGGTCCTAAATACACAAGACAATAACGTATGCAGCTACTATCTTAGGTTTTCAAATAAAAAACTAATGGATACAATTTCCGTCAAAGCATTCAATTTAATCTCCACAAAATAAAAAACCCATTTGCGCAAAATAACTAAATATTATACAATCTAAGTAAATAAACTCCAAATTGTTAAATCAAAAGAAAAAAAAAAACAGAGTCAGGGAGAGAGGGATCCATCACCTGAAGGAATCGAGAGGAATGAAGAAGCCTGCTTCTTTCTCCTGGTGTGGAGAAGCCTGCTTCTTTCTCCTGGTGTGGGCCCTAGCTGATGCTGCTGATATCTCTCTGTTCACAGGCGCCATTGCTGGTTGCTGCTGCTCTTTAGAGATCTATTGAGTAATTTGAAGTGATAGCGATTTGAGTTCGATTTATTATTAAGTGAGAGCCAAAGAGAGTCGCAGTTAACAATTGTCTTAAACTCTTTAACCTTTTCTTTGGGACTATTTGCACTTAAATCCTACAAAAGCTTACTCTATTGTTAACTTTGATGCCCCAAAGTTAGGGGTGCTAAACCGTATCCGTATCCGATGAAATATCCGTAACCGTATCCGTTAGGATACGAATATGGTTACTCAAATCTATAACCAATAGGATATGGTTATGGATATGGTTTTGTAGTGAAATATCCGTATCCGTATCCGAAATATCCGAATACATATTAGTCATACTCTTACGATAGTTTCGATTCTTAGATTATGGATTTGTGGTTAATTTTGATGATCAAGATGACTAATCTTAACTATTTAGTTATAATGGACATATTAACGAACTTTTTTGTATCACATGAACTATGTTTTTCTCAATACTATCTAGTTTTCTCATATCTGTTTTGTATCCGCATGCATATCCGCTTATATATCCGCATGTATATCCGTAACCGTATCCGATTTTAGCGGATATGGTTATAAGTTTTTCTTACCGAGGTATATCCGTATCCGTATCCGTATCCGAGATGGGTAAGCGGATATGGATATGGTAAGCATCATATCTGAGCCGTATCCGGACCGAATGCACCCCTACCCAAAGTTCTCGATTACCCAAAAAGTACCCCAAAAGTTTACCACATTTTTAAGTTTGACAACCCCCAAGTTTTTTACTTTACCAAAAAAATACACAAAGTTCAACACAATTTAACTTTGATACCCTCAAAGTAAAAAATATTAAACTTCGGTGCTACATTTTAAATATAAATAAACAAAGAATTTAAGTTTGGAGCATCAAATTTATCGCATCAAAGTTGTTATGGTGTTTTCAGTCACCAAAGTACGACCCTTTGCCAGTAACGGACATGCCCTACATGCACCGCTTAAGTCAGATTAACGATCAAAGCCACCAAGTATCCCGACGTAGCCGACTCGTCGAGTCAACATCTCCTTAGATCGACTCGAATGGCGGTACTTGTCGGTTAAGATGACTCGCAACAAGCCCACTCGACTAGCTATTCGATGCCTCGCGAGGTCGACTCGAAATGCGTTGCTTCTCAGCTAAGCTAAAGGACGACTTCAGCTTCGAGCTTCTCCCACTGACAACATGTTGGCATCACATTTAATGACTGGCAGGCACGTTATACCTCTAGCCCCAATAGTCTTCATGACTCATAGGACCACGTCAGCATCGCCATGCCTCCGATCACTACTCATTTAATGCTGAAATGATCTCTCTTTCGCTCGCTGTCCGGCACGTGTAAAGTAGGCGCTGACTCAGCCGCCAGCCCATAACTGCTTACCGCCTTCCTGTGCTCGGCCGAAGTGACGGTTCTACCCCTTTCAGCACCACTATAAATAGAGGTACTATTATTTTTTTAAAGGATCTTGATCTTTGTGATCTTGGATCTTTTACTGGTAAGCAAGATCTGCATATTACACTGTACTACACTAAGGGCCTGTTTGTTTGCACGGAAGTAATTATGAAGTAGCTGAAGTAAAAAAAGTAGAGGCTACTTCTGCTACTTCCAAGCAAAAAAATATGTTTGGTTTTCTGAAAAACTTACTTCCAATACTTTCCTAAATGCTTATGTGGCGCCTACGTGTCATCCTTACTTCCAAAATATTTTTTCAATCCTCAATACTCAGAAGTAGCTCGGAAGTAGTTAAAATGCATATTAATTATGACATAAATAATTTTTTTTATTAATATTTTCTTTATTAGTTTCTTCTAACAACTTTTCATTGATAAAATTACTTCCTAATAATATTTCCAAATGTTATCCAAACAAAAAAAGTAAATGAAGAGGAAGAAGTTCTACTTCCATTACTTCTAAAAATATATGAAACAAACAAAAAAATGTTATTTCCACTACTTCCTACTTCATAGCTTTGAAAGTTACTTTTATAACCTACTACTTACTTCTAATACTTCCATTATCCAAACGGGCCCTAAAAAACTCATATAGTTCTTCATTTTTTCACTCAAGTTTATCAACAGACTTGATCGTCGGAGGTACAATGGGGGAACCAAACCCCGTCCTCTCACAAGTTTCTATTTGTGCAAGCTAAAGCTACTAAACTCATGACTAGATATTCGGAGAAATGAGCAAGCCCAAATCAATCTCACCACATCACATATTTAACTCTTTGGTTACTTAAGATCAATAAAAGTTATCTTTTTTTTAAAACTTTGGGAATTATTTGGACAAAAGAAAAATTTGAGGAATCAAACTTAATCGAAGTTTTTTTTTTCGGGTTGGGTTTTTTTTTGTTGTTGGTGTGTGTGTGTGTGTGGGTGGGGGCGGGGAGGGGGCAAAATGAAACTTTGGGGTATCAAAGTTAGAGATAAGATAATTTTGAATCAACAGAACCAACATGTATAACTATGCACAACATAGCACAAAAACACGGAAAAAAAATCTGAAAATATACAACAACAACGTTAATATCCGACTCTTGCTCAAAAGTTCTACTGATTCCCAGTAACGAGTGCCTTAAATATGGGATCACTCCAACCATCAGCCAGGGGAAACATGTGACCAGTATTCTGAAGCTCGTGATACTGAACCCAAGCGAGCTTCTGGCTTATGTATCGTGATAGATATACGGGCACCATGCGATCTTCAGTGCCGTGCCACAAGTGTACTGAACCTTCGCTGTTCGAGAATGGGTTCTGTAGATCCATAGGATCGAACTCCCAGCTCCCGAACCCAATGTTCATGTCACAGTGAAGTGACCCGAACTCTCCTTGTTGCCTTGCTTGTTCCTGTTAATCCAACAAAACATAAGATCTTAGATTGAATCAAGAAGGAGATGACAGGTTTTCTTTTTCTTTTTCTTTTCCCTAATCGATGATAGGATAATTTGAATCGGTGAGTTTTTAGGGGAAATTTTCACAAAACTATTGGTCGAGTTGACTAGATATACCAAAAAAATATCCCTAAGATTTTAGGAATTGTTGATTGGTTAGGGCCTCTTTGGTTCGCTGGGGAAGGGTGGAAAACGCGTGGAAATGGTCCGACACACGGTTTCCGCAGAAAATGCAGAAATAGGCAAAAACAGTTCCTAAAAATCCATTTGGTTCGCCCAAAAACTTCTAGAAATGGCTTCCGAAAACGTCACAAAACGTCGTGTTTTCACGAAAACCCAATTCCATGAAGTTTGCGTAGAATTGGGTGGAACCGCGTGCTTTTATTACAAAATATTGGGGATAGGGTTTTCTGGGTAGGAACCGCGCGTAACGAAAGTACCCATTTCCTAAAGAGATCAATCCCTATTCTGAGTTTTGAAACAATTGCTGTAAAAAAGGATTCCACCATCCATTTGTATGTGAAATCTGAAACAAAGCAAAAATTAAGGTTTCTAATAAATGTCTGGAAAAATCAAAATTACGTTCTTTTGCATCGGAATCCTATTCCTATATCACTGTGAAATGAAACAAAAAGGCCCTTAGAGGGAAGTCTGGGAAACATAAATGATTTAGGTGAGGATGTTATGGAAAGTCCCTTTAAATAGCAAGATAATCTCATCAGTGAGATACATAGAAAAACCCCAAAGTAATCTACATGAGCCCCAATCAATCTCCTCTCTCTTATCCCTATGCCCCTGTACTTAATAAATCCGAGAAAATTCCTTGAAATATCAAAATTATACTAGGCCCCTATAAACTATTGAAAAATCTCGTAAATGATACTAATATGTGGGAGTAATAAGATTGAATTATGACAAAGCAATGTTTGTGATGAGAACTTGAATGAAGAGCATTCATGAGGGAGAACAAGACACAACAAAAATGTCAAGGTTTTAGACATTAAGTATAGTACCTTGTTGTGAATTCTCCCTGCTAACTTAGGCAAGATATCTCTGTCTTGGGTAGAAAAAATATCACTATGCGGAGCTAGAAGACTTGAAGAGGGAAACCACTTTTGAGTGTTCCACCAGTAAGTTAACCATGGAGCATAATGAGCAACTCGATATGCCCATTGGTCTCGTACAATCTCCTGACTGAAAACATCTTTAGTTAAATTAGAAGGGAAATTAGGCCACCAGTAGTTGGACACTGGAGCTACCAATGCTGCACCTGCAAGCCTGCCATCATTCCAAAGTCCATTTTTGAAGAAACTGGAGGAGGAAAAAAGAATATATGAATTTAAAAGTAGTATGTATGTATGTGTGATTCCCAAATTAACCTTTTCCTCTCAGAAAAAGAGAAAATCGTTTTTTGACAAATAGACCTCTTCAGGGTAGCAGAGTCAAAAAGAACTTACACACAGGCGATCTATCTGCAACGTTAGAACAACGAGGGGTTTATCCACAATTAGGCGATAGTAAAGCAGATCTATCCACAGGTAACCCTAAAGGCGTGTGAACTGTGAAGTCCTACACAGAGTGCTTTTCTTTTCTTTTGAAAGATCATTCCAGACAGCTAATAACATGATCAATGGTGTCCTTTTGATGCTTGTGAAGTGAGCTCTTGAGCAATTAATAACGTTATCAGAATCATACCTATGGGGGAAGTATTTCAGGCAGCCCCAAGCAAATGCTCCTCCCATGGAATATCCAATAACAAAGAACTTGGAACCTAGATCTAACTCGTCAGCAAGCTCTTCAACATCCTGAGCATTGCTTTTCACAGACCTATTTGGATCTGGATCACTCTCTCCATACCCAGCTCGGTCAAACGACGCCATGTATATCCCAAATTCATCCATAACTTCCTGAAAGAAACCATTATTATCAACAGACAAAGGAACAATGTCAGCAAATAAGAAATAAAAATCATCTTATTCACTAGTACCTGAGAGATGGGAAATGAGTTATACTTGCAAGAGTCCAACCCATGAAGAAAGATGATCTTGTGCAGGACCTTATCCTTTGGGACTCCAGTTTCTATGTAGGAAAGATTTCTTCCATCTCTGAGTTTAATTCTGGATGATGTAACAGGTGGACCACCTGAAGATCCGCAGATTTTAGGTGGTGGAGGCTTGATTGCCTGATATGATAATGCAAGCAATATCGCCAGCAAAATGACTGATACCTTTCTAATGATTCCTAAAATGCCAAAAGTTGAATAAATTGTCATTGCTAACAAATCAAAGGTTTGATATTGACACATTGTATCTTCACTCTCCCCTCCAACAAAAAACCACAACAACAACAACAAATAGCAAAGTCTTTAACCAAGATTTTTTGGGATCAGGTGCGTGAATCCTTCTTCTATTGTGGCTAATTTAACTATAATAATATCCTTCTTTACCTGTTTCTAGACAAGTTTTTTTCTCTCTAGTTAACTTTGCTCCATTGACAACAATCTTATCACTTCTCCTAACCTATATATTTAGTGGTCTCTGTTCTGCATGATCAAACCATTCCAATGAATCTCTATTTTGTTCTCTAGAGGAGTAATCTCTAATTTGCTACATAAGAGCATCTCCAACAATGATCCTAGCTTTTCCCTATATTTGAGGAGCAAATATCCCATCCTAGGAAATCAATGATCCTAGCTTTTCCCTATATTTGAGGAGCAAATATCCCATCCTAGGAAATAGGGAGTCAAATAAAGAGCAAGTGCTCCAACAATGCTCTATTGAGGAGCAAATATCCCATCCTAGGAAATAGGGAGTCAAATAAAGAGCAAGTGCTCCAACAATGCTCTACAAAAGGCTCCCTAAATAGTTTTGGACATTTTTCACTTACGTCCTTTTGTAATAAATAATTGTAACGGCTATATTCCAACGACTAAATTATAACGGCTATATTTCAACGGCTATATCATAACGGCTATATCATAACGGCTATATGACCTCTATAAATAATATCATATGCACTCTTATTTTTCACTCAACTCAAATAGTAGAATGCCAAGTGCTTTTAAATTATGAGATGAACTAATTTATCCTATACAAATATGCAATATCTATAGATGAAAGGAGAATGAGAGGAGCTTGAAAGCAAATATGACTGTTGCATTTTTTGAACCGTTGTTTGTCACTGTAGATATATGGAGTCTCTCTATTGTCTTTGATTTGAAAGATGCTCACAAGGACCCTATATTTGGAATATGGGATAGGGAGCTTGTTGGAGCCAATTATTCAACTCCTACTCCCTAAATTTGATCAAGGACAAGGGATGAGGAGCTTCTTGGAGTTGCTCTAAGCACTTGTTCTCTATCCTATCTTTTTTATCCACAAGACCATTGACATTCTACTATTTTAGTTGCCCAACATTTTGATTCACAACGCATTGCTAGTTTTATAATTGTATAGTTATTTGAAGGTCATAGAAGCCTCAAGAAGGGCTCCCTAATACAATTAAAATCTTGCGCTCTCTCACTTCAAAATGGATCTCTGTCTCAC